CCTGTTATCTTCATTTTCCTGACAGATTAATGGGGTCAAGATAAAAAAAGCTCATATTACCAAAAAGAACCCTTTCCAAGAACTCGTCGAGTTCATACTGCAGGACAATGTAGATGGTAGAGAGTCTGTGATCTCAATTCTTCATATCCTCATTCTGGGTACTAGCTGAGGAAACGAAGGATTGATCTCGTGGACACTCCATAGAACATTGCTCTCGGACCTTTTCCTGTATTGTGCAATTTAGCACATCCAGGGGAAGATCACCTCCAAAAATGTACTATCTCCTGCCTGTACATGATACAGAAACTGTATTATGCATGGAGTAGGGGTTATACCAGTACAGGCTTCGTCCTGTTGATGAGAATGTACGAAAGGATGAAATAAATAATTCAATATTGGTCGAATATCGGTCCAGTTCTGGACCAGTNTCTCACATTGTCTCATTTTAGGAATCAATGAACACGGACACTTCATCGCCTGTTATCTTCATTTTCCTGACAGATTAATGGGGTCAAGATAAAAAAAGCTCATATTACCAAAAAGAACCCTTTCCAAGAACTCGTCGAGTTCATACTGCAGGACAATGTAGATGGTAGAGAGTCTGTGATCTCAATTCTTCATATCCTCATTCTGGGTACTAGCTGAGGAAACGAAGGATTGATCTCGTGGACACTCCATAGAACATTGCTCTCGGACCTTTTCCTGTATTGTGCAATTTAGCACATCCAGGGGAAGATCACCTCCAAAAATGTACTATCTCCTGCCTGTACATGATACAGAAACTGTATTATGCATGGAGTAGGGGTTATACCAGTACAGGCTTCGTCCTGTTGATGAGAATGTACGAAAGGATGAAATAAATAATTCAATATTGGTCGAATATCGGTCCAGTTCTGGACCAGTGAAGCCTACGCTTTTCCGTAATGCCAATATAGGCCAGATTAGGTGTCCGTGAAGCAACGTTTTTAATCAACATTGCAGCAACATAAATCCTGAAACGTATCTGCAACGTATATGTAATGAATAAGTATCGATTTGCAACGTAAATGCAATGTTCCTTCGCAACATTTGAGCAACGTTGACGTTTTGGACATTTACCCATAGATGCAACATTGTTCATCAACATTTCCTAAACGTTGCTGGAATATCTTGTGTTACTTGGGATCTTGGTTGTCGCTGATTTTGGCACTATGGTGCGGGTGACGTTATATAGAATGTACTGCAGCATGCAAGTGGCTCCGATACCGAAATCTCTCATCTCTGAAGGAAATATAGACTAAATGGATGAGCTGATGTTGCCATCCATGATCCCCTCCGGTACTCTACTCGTACACTCGTCTAACGCACGGCTATTCTACGGTTATGTGTCACCTCCAACAATGGCAGCAAATATTTAGCGATGATTAGCACATTCCGTGTCACTCCGGGTATACCCGTCATTCATGCGGTCCTATCCCAAGTAACACAGAATGTTGAAACGTTTCCGAAATGCGCCGCAATTCTTATCCAGTATTAACCTTTTCCACTGGAATTTTTGCAACACTCAATGTACCAATGGGCGAGTATACTCACCCATTCGAGTGGAAAAGGTTAATCCATTCCGTGTCACCGGGAATGCCAGTCGAAAACGTCTCTTTCTTGTGAAATTCTCTCGTAACGGTCTTGGAAATACCTACAGTGATTTTGAAAATATTCCACCATGTACCGTTGCCCTGTGATGACCGTTTTGGATCATTCCGAACCAAAATATGTCAATTTGGGTATACTCGCATGGGTAGAATCCCAATTAACACAGAATGTTGATGAAACGTTCCGAAATGTCGCCTATGTTGCTCTACGTTACAAGTTGATGTACAGCATTGATAAAACATTGCTTCAACGTTTTCACATGGAATGTTGCTGGGACGCTTCTACGAATGTTATTGCAACATTTGCTATCAAGTATTGTATGTCTCGCATTGTCTTATTATAGGAATCAATGAACACGGACACTTCATCACTTGTTATCCTCATATTCCAGACAGATTCATGGGGTCAAGATAAGAAGGTCATATTCCTAAAAAGAACCTTTTCCAAGAGCTCATTAATTACATTCTTTTTGAAAATAAAAATGTTGGTAGAGAGTCTCTGATCTCAATTCCTCATTTCCTCATCATGAGAACGAGATGAGGAAAAGAACTGAATCCGCGGACACTCAATATATCATAGTGGGTGAATCTTTTCCTGATATGTGCCATATTAAGTACATCCAGCGGAAGATTAAATCCAAAAATGTACTATGTCTCCTGCCTATACACGATACAGATGCTGTATTATGCATGGGTAGGGGTTATATCAGTACAGGCTTTGTCCTGGTACAAATCCCAATATAGGTCCAGATTAGATGCCAGTGAAGCAACGTTTTCCATCAACAGAAGTCCTGAAACGTTTCTGCAACATACAGTATATGCAATGAATAAGTAACGATTTACAAAGTCGATGCAATGTTCTTTCGCAACATTCGAACAACGTTGACGTTTTGGACATTTACACATAGAGGCAACATTGTTCTTCAACATTTTCTAAATGTTTCTGGAACATCTTGAGTTACTTGGGATATCGTCATGACAGGTTCTTTCGGGTAATATGAGCTAGCTTTTGATCTTGGTCCCATGAATCTGTCCCGAATGTGAGGATAACAAATGAAGAAGTGTCCGTGTTCATTGATTATATATACAATGTCTCATTATATATAATGAGACAATGCGAGACATGTAGCAAGGTACTAAACATTCCTGTGCAGGACGATTCTAGGGAAAGGGAGAAGGGCACTTTTGTGTACTGTTCGAAAGGCGAGTTTTACGCCTCAATCTCGTGGCAAGGAGGACAACCTTACAATTCCCTAAAACTTCCAAGTCCATGTTAAATCGAAATGATGCCGTTACGTTGTCGATGTCGAGTGTCAACATTCGCTCAATATTGATAGCAAATGTTGCAATAACATTCGTAGAAGTGTCCCAGCAACATTCCACGTGAAAACGTTGAAGCAATGTTTTATCAATGTTCTACATCAACTTGTAACGTAGAGCAACATAGGCGACATTTCGGAAACGTTTCATCAACATTCTGTGTTAATTGGGATTCTACCCATGCGAGTATACCCAAATTGACATATTTTGGTCCGGAACGATCCAAAACGGTCATTACAGGGCAACGGTACATGGTGGAATATTTTCAAAATCACTGTAGGTATTTCCAAGACCGTTACGAGAGAATTTCACAAGAAAGAGACGTTTTCGACTGGCATTTCCCGGTGACACGGAATGGATTAATACTGGATAAGAATTGCGATGCATTTGCTACTTGGCGGAATAACGAGGATTTATGCGGAAAAAACACGTTTTGGCATTTGATGGTGTTAGCAGAGGGTGGCGCTATGACGAGGGTGAGCGCATAATGAGCTTATGGGGAGGATTTGTCAAGAGTAAAGAGTTGGCGATATGCGAGAGTAGCGGTTTAACGAGTGGCGTTACATCAAGAGTTCACTGTATTTGTGTTTAATTTCCAGTAATTGTAAGCAGAGAAATCGTGTAAAACATCACAAAATGTATCCGTGTGGTACACACGATATTGGACCGGAAATTGGGACCGGAAAGTAATGTCGTTTTTTTCTATTCATCACAAACATTTGCTTTTACAGGTAGTTTTTTTTTAGTTTCAATAAATTTTGTAATCCCCATCATTATCAAGGACAGTTTCCCATCTTTTAATCAACTTTTCAATTCCCTGTTTATAGAAGGAGGCTTGCTTTGAGGCAAAGAATTCCGGGAGAGCAGTTTTGATAACATCAATATTTCTGAAAGTCTTGTCACTAAGAAACTGCTGCAGAGATGGGAATAAATGATAATCTGATGGGGCAATGTTGGGTGAGTATGGGGAGTGAGGCAGGACTTCCCAACCCAAATCTTTCATCTTCTGTTGGGTCATTTTTGCAGAATGTGATCTCGCGTTGTCGTGCTGCAGAATTACCATTTTTCTGTTGACCAGTGCTGGACGTTTCTCAATCAGAGCCTGGTGCAAACGGTCCAATTGTTGACAATAGAGGTCTGCAGTAATGGTCTGACCCGTCTCCAATATCTCAAAGTGTATTATACCGACACCGTCCCACCAAACGCTCAACAGGACTTTCTGTGGGTGTAGGCCTGGTTTTGTTGTCGGAACCGGCTGCTGGCAAGGGGATAGCCACTGGTTCTTCCGCTTGGTGTTGACATAAAGAGCCCATTTCTCATCTCCAGTAACAATTCGATGAAGAAATGGTTCTCTCTCTTGTCTCGTCATCAATGAATTGCGAATTATTGTGCGCTGGGGTTTGTTTTCAGTTGAGAGTTGGTGGGGAACCCAAACGCCTTGTCTATTGACCTTCCCGATTTGTTGAAGGTTTTCTTGAACACTGGACCACGAAGAATTGAGTTTTTCTGCCAATTGTTGGATGGTTTGACAGGGGTCTAACTCGATCTCTGACCTCAGGAGATCGTTGTCCAGCTTCACCGATCGTTCCGAATGATGGTCATCCGAGAGGTCAAGATCGCCTGACTGGAATTTTCTGAACAAACGCTGGCATTTGCTGACATCCAATACATCTCCATAAGCACCACAAATGTTCTTGGTGGTCTCCGTTGCCTTACTTTCCTTACGAAACTCATATAGCATACAATGTCGTATATGGATCTCTTCAGGAATGTGGCCAGACATTTTTGCTGAAAATTTTGAAACAAGTTTTGCCATCGAAATGTGTATGGCAAAGAAGAGATCTCTAGGCCTATAAATGAAATTCATTTAAAAGCAAAGGAAAACACGCCAAAAAATAACGTTTATATTTGGGTTACAAAAAAAGACATTACTTTCCGGTACCCCTTATAAAATGTTGAAATTGACTCTTAATCGTTCACTTCTGGATAATAATAATCTGATGAATTCGGAAGACGGCGACGGAAACGTTTGCATTGAAGCTTCGAGACCGGTTCGTATCTAGAGTCCTGGACTTTCATGGAGATGGAGATGGAAAATTGCAGCGACGATGCGGAAATGCAGTTGGAGAAAGGGAAGATGTTCGTGGAGAGCCTGGGGGATATCGTGAACCAGATGCTTGCAAGGGAACAGGGTTGGGTCTCCCTCCTCCTCTCGGAACGCCACCACGTCCTCAACACCATCCAAGAATGCGCGGATCGGAGCTGGGTCTTCTTCGATTCCTCCTCGGACGAGCAGAACCTCACCATCAGCAATCAGTTCTTCGGTAAGGCGTTTCTTTACTTCGCCTCCGCGGCTATCCCGGGGGAAATTCCAACGTACTGAGGTCCGCCGGGTGCTTCGGGTTCCCTAGATGAGTACGGTCGACCGAAAGTCGGAGACCGTCCAGACGACGAGAAGGAACAGGAAATTAAACGCTCGGTGTCGGATAACTCTATCTCTAAAACTTGGTATACGATTTGGACGTGAGGGAAATTTCGTTTCTCACATGATCGTCGATTGCAAGGGTGGTCGATTGGATCCAGTGGGAAAAGCATAGCGAACCAGACGGCAGTCAACCGGGCGAGCAAAGAGGGTTTCACACTATGCGTGTCATGTATCCTTTGTTCAATTTTTGGACAGGTAGGCAGACGTAAGTCCACTTACATCCATGGGTTTATACAAAACGCAAGTAGATTTGGGTGTGGAAATAGGATGAGCTGAATTGAAAAAGCAAGCCTTGCGTTTTGGGAAAACCCTTGGGTGTAAATTACAGTAGACATGCATGAGCACGCCTGCCTCTGTCTATCAGTCCCAGCCTCCTCGCAAGGAACGCAAGACACGCAGTGTGAATTCTCTTTACGGTCTCGGGGCTGTTGGGGAGAAGACTTGACGATACCGGACCTCTGGAGTGGGAGATGCGACGAAATCGAGCCTTTGGGGAAGGAGATGTGACGAGACCGAACTGTACCATCCCCTCCCGCAGCGAACGGTTCTACGTCCGTCCGCTATCCGCCCACTGACTTGCGATTGATCTCACGGCTCACCAGCATGAGAGGAGCTTGCATGACGCATGCGAAGTTGTGCCTAAGTTGCGTGAAGGTTGGCAAGAACGGCCGAATGTACTGTAGAGTTGGGTTGGTAACATTGGATAACGTAACGTAAGCTGGTCGTGTCATGTCCCCAGTAGCATTAGATATTGGCTCAATGCTGTACCAACATCGGGTACGTTGGCTCCACCTTCGCCAATATTGCCAATATTGGCTAAATATTGGCTCCCCCAATGTTGCCATTCCATCATCAATCCAATATTGGACTGACGCAATGATCCAATGTGCCCGACCACCCTTTGAAGTTTTTGGGAAATGCTGAAGTATAGGGTGTCCCAAAAGTAAAATCTCAAAAGCAAACACGCGCCAGTTAAGCATCGTTTGATGAAATTTCACAAAAATTGGCATGTATACGGGAAATATCATCAAATTTTACTTACTAAACTATAAAATCATTTTATCAACTCTGCATTGATTAAGAGGTTTCAATGTACTCACCACCATTTTCAACGATTAGATTCACCCTTTCCCTGAAACAAAGCAAACTTTCTTGGAAAAAATCGGGAGTCAGGGAAGCGCAAGCTGCTTCGATGGCCATCTGGAGTGGATTCAGGTCCTTGTGCGACTGATTGTGATTGAGGTCCTGGAAGCTCTATCAAACAGTTATTGCACCCGTGCCCCATTCTCCTCAGACCGTACCCTTTTAGCGTTCGCACCTCGTTTTCCTGGATGAATCAAGCCTGTTTCAAGGAAGTTCGAATGCCATTCCTTGATGAGTTTTTTGTCCAGTGCTGGTTTTCCATTTCAAATTATTGGGCAAATTTTATCTGAACCAGAACAGGACTCTTGAAACTGTCATACTAGCAAACAGACTTAGCCTTTTCGAATGTAGAATGCGATATTTTAATTTTTTTTTCACTCACGCTACTTAAACTGTCAAAGAATTCACGAGAACCATGACATTAACGGGCTTCGCCTGCCGGCTTGAAAATTGTAATCTCAATAAACTGCTAACAAATCGATTCAGCTTCAACTGAGAATAGAAAGTAGAAAATAGAGAATAGAAACTTTCCACGCTAAAATTTTGTCAAAATTCAAGTGTATGCCAATTTTTGTGGATTTTCGTTGAACGATGCTTGAATGGCACGCGTTTACTTTTGGGACTTTAATATTGGGACTCTCTGTACTCAGAAGTGCCCCTTCCCTCTTTCCCTGTAACCGTCCCTCACAGGAGAGTTTAGTACCTCGCCATTGGTCTGGCTTAATCTCATTATAGCAATAAATAGACTCGGACACTTCATCATTTCTTTTTCCGCATATTCGAGACAGAATTATGGAGCCCAGGCCATAAACAAGCTCATATTTCATATGAGAACCCTTTGTGAAAACATGGTGACTCTATCCGAAAGGAGTATTAGAACATGATAAATATCCGAATAGAAACAAAACGGTTCAATGGATCTGGGAGCAATTTTTATTTTTTGGAAGTACATTTACAAGAAAAAAAAAATGCAGCAGAAAACTTCACTTCAGGTGCTCAATATGTCCGCCGTCTTGGTCGATACAAATTTGAAGCATTTTCAGCACGTTGCGGCACGCTTGGGAACATACAAGTCAAAAAGTTCTGAGGCCAAGGCACTTCCAGTAGCAATACATCATTCTTACTCTTATCATGGGAAGACAGAGGTATTTGATGGTGACTGGCGAAATCTCATCTTATTTGTCGATAAAGGGTAGCTTCTATGAATTTTTTTCAATGTGCTACCAAAGGGTCTGCTGAAGGGGTATTAAAATTGAGACGAATGCGGTGAGGAATTTTTAGAGGAGGGTCAGTAGGACTCTGTCCTCTCAGTCTCAAAGATCTGCTGGAAGGTCAGCTACTAAGAGGTTAGAAAATTCCTCACAGCATTCGTCTCAATTTTAATACCCCATCAGCATACCCTTTGGTAGCACATTGAAAAAAAATCCTAGAAGCTATCCTTACAGTAATCGACAAATAGGATGAAATTTCGCCAATCGCCATCAGAGACACATGTCTTCCCATGATAAGAGTAAGAATGGCGTATTGCAACTGGAAGTGCCTTGGTTCTCAGAACTTTTTGACCACCCCTCGCATGTTCCCGAGAGCGCCGCAACGTGCTGAATAACCTTAAGGCTTCAAATTTGTACCTACCAAGACGGCGGACATATTGAGCACATGAACTGCTGCATTGTTTTTTCTTGTAAATATACTTCCAAAAAAATTTAAATTGCTCCCAGATCCATTGATTCGTTCGTTTCATCCATTCCTGTTCGAATTTAAACGTGTTCGGTCACTTAGTGCCCGCCCCCTTTATTCTTGAAAGTGGGTTCCCCTAACCCTCTATTTCCCATAAGCCATGGATTTTACCAACCCCGGTTTTGCCAACCGCGGTGTTTTCCAGGTCCGTAACGCCCGCGGTTGGCGAGGGATTACTGTATGCTCTTGTGGCCTCTGTAGCAGCAGCTGCAGTACATTAGGCTTAAAGGGTCGTTCCATGCCACATTGTTGAATTTAAGACCTACCATCGTTTTGCTTTCCATGGGAGCATAGGCATAAAAAGAAGTAATTCTTGACCTGTTTCCGGAACTAGCCCAGCCAGATGACATGTTAATCGCAAAAGACAGCAGCAAGAGATGGTGAACAAAAAAAAGTTTCTCCTGAAAAACGCTCCACTCCGGATATTTCGAAAATGAAAATGCTCAAGACTTGTGATTTCCATCGCAAATTTATCGTAGTAAGGATGATGGAAACAACGTCTGCTTTGATGCGAAGGACGAGGGTGTCGGAGACGAGACACGCTGACTTTTTGTTCGCATGCAAGCAACCATACTGTACCCAAATCAACTGAACGATTTTTAATTTTCAAAGAGTTTGACATTTAAAGTTAAAATAGTAAATATTGACGTGGCTTACGAAACCTTATTGGATGCAACCCCGATCATACACTATTGACAAAAATTGTTCAACTTTTATCCCCTAAAGGGTGTTTTAAGTGCAATTCATATATCCTTTGGGGGTTACGTATTTAATCTTTTCGACAGGTTAAATAATAAACTCGACCTGGATTAATATGTAACCTTCCTAGTATACATGTAATCATGAAGGTGAGAGGTTTTCCTCTAACCCTATTAAGTGTCCGAGGCATCACTCCCCAATATTATCATCCAGTCGTCAAGACGAATAAATTAGAGAATGGGTTGAGGGCACATATGAACTATAGGGTGCCCGGAAAAAAGTACACCATTATATATTTATAAGTTTCCCAACAACCAAACTGCCTAAAAATTTGAATAAAAATAGTTCAAATAGTCATGAAACATACCTTAAAATTGTAGACGGATCAGTTTGACCTGAACCCTGATTCATATCATTTAATGACATGATATAAAAAATCGACCAAATGGTATGTTTAATTATCTCAGTTCAATCAAAAACAGCAAAAATCATTGCAAATAAGGAACAATTAGCGCATTAGTTTATCTTTGGAGATGGTGAGCAAAGTCGTTGACAACTTTCCAAAGAGGCTCAAGCAGTGCATCAAAACAGGAGGTGGCCATTTTGAAAAGAAGTGATTCTATTGAGATCCCGAGATTGTAAACTTCGTTTTTTGTTCTTATTGGTTTAAAAAAGTATTCATTTTCCAAAAAAATTATTTCACTTTTTATTTGTCCTGGTATTTTTGCCGCACCCTGTATTTCCGATATTTTTAGTTGAATAAGGGTACTTTTCAGGATTTAGTGAAAAATACTCGGCGGTGTAATAAATTGAGATGCTGAATACTGTAAATTTACAGGGCAAAAGTTGTACTTATGCGCAAAATTGACGATAGCTACAAAATCATGCAAATTATGGATCATATGATACAAATCCGCCTAATATTTCAAGGAGTTTCCTGACTAATTGAACTCCTTTTATAAACATTTTTTTTTAGACAGTTTGGTTTTCTAATTGCCGAGAAACTTTATAAGTATATAATGGTGTACTTTTTTCCGGGCACTCTGTATGTTTAACCCAGAAGATCCATTTGTGCATGGACTACTGTTTCTGAAGACAAGTTTCTTTTGGTCTAAGGTCCAGGAATCTGTCTCGAATATGGGAATGATGAATGAAAAAGTGTTCGCGCTTATTACTACCTATAATGAGGCAAGGCGAAACACAGGACGAGGTGACATTATAACATGCTTGTGCAAGAGATTCCAGGGGAAGAGAGAAGGGCTATTCTATGTACTGTGGGAAACGGTAGCACCATAACTCCATCTAGTGGTCTAAAATGGAACTTTTAGCCATACATATAACCCTAACAAATGGTTTTTTACTCCCATCTATATCTTTTCTTCTGTTAAGTATGCAGCCTGAAAAAAGGTTACATTTATTCATTTTCTTGATAGTCTCATTTGAAATTTTTTTCCGAGTTATTTGATAATTAGTCTTATACCCAGGGACCCAATTTTCCTTCGTTCGTGGGTTTTGTGAAAGTGAGAAATTGGCTCATCTTCAGGGTGGGCTATGAATCCATATACTCGTACATGTACCACGTCCATGTACATGTGGCCCACCTTGTACATGTACTACACTCCCTCGCTTTTAAAAAAACGATCACTTAAATATTAACTTCATCCTCTGGAGCTGGAGAAATGATTTACTTTCCATCGGAAGACGATTTCCCATTCAGTGCTTCATTTATGTAACCTCAGAAAGGATAAATATTTATACCTGTTCCAATGGACACTCATTTATCCGCGCAGAAGATTCATAAAATTCTCTTAGTTGAATTTTAACCCTTTCAATCGAAAATGGTATAAATAATTCATCGCATTTAAGATCAACATTCAATTAACCCTTTTAAATAGTGATTCAGTCACCTAACCGTTTTTTACGGTTTAAGGTTAAACCCTGAACCCTTTCTGCTAACAGTGTAGGATGTGTGAAATGTGCTATTGCGGAGTTTTCCAGCTGTGATTCTTTTCCGGAAATGGTTGTCGTGGTGACCTGGAAACCTGGAAAAATTAGGTCTTCGAGAGCATGTAACTTGGGACCTGACGAGGAAAAAAAAAAACAGCCTTTGATTCTGAAGTTTCTCATGCAAGGTTTCTCATCACTATGACTTTTGCTGAAGAGAACTGCGACAGGTCGATCACACCATTTCTTGATTTGGAGTGAAATGACCTAAAGTGCAGCCTTGAGAAAATGCGATGAAGTAAAAAATGATGTTCTGGATATAAAAGAAACGTGAAATGTTAATGGTTGCCTCGAAAGAGAGATTTCACGTGAAGCCGTGTGAATTGTAGTAATGCAGGTGACGATGCACAACAAAGAAATCCTGATGGCCAAGCCTTCCCTGAATTTCGAGTACGGCGGTTCGTCCATCACGGTCCCCCGGGAGGCTCTGGAGGAGATTGAGACGAGTCTGCACCGTCGCGTCGGGGTCGTCTTCGTCGGCTATCTCAACTTCCATTGCGTTCTTGCCCGCGTCGTGGATCCCAATTGGTAGTCCCACATTGTTTTCTCTAAAAATTTGTTCGATTACAACGGAATATATGACACGCGGTTCACGAACCGAGTCACGAACCGTTTCATGATCTGGCATTGACGCGAGACAAAAACGAAGACACATGTTTATGGCTATGTTAATTGTCTATGATTATTTATTTGGGCTGCACCAAATAAAATAAAAGTTGGAGCTGAAGGAAATGTGGCGATTGATAGTCCATGCAAACAGCATACAACTTTACTGTCGTTGGTCCCATCGATGATCTCACTCGACGTTCCGCTCGTGTTCATTCCTATCGGCGGTGAGAAAATCTCAGATCTAGCGTTCTTAGTAATTGTTAGGAAAATGCTAACCAAAACGATGCCAATTATACAAAAATATTACCTTAATTCTCAAAATACTACTCTACCTTAAACTTTAAATTTTATTCGATGTGACCAAACGACGTGGGCTGATTTTACTCCTTCTGGTGCCAGGAATCCGTCCAGCTCGCATGAATGCTTGAGCAAAGTAGTCGAAACAAATGAGATTCAGACTAAATCTCCTTACTCGTGAATCTATCGTTTCTGGGACTAGCTTCGCCACCAAAGGAGGGTTTACGAAGGACAATGAACTCCAGCGTCCTTCCTGGGCGACCTACACCGTGAACACGGAACTGGGCAACAGGACCACGAAGCAAGTGAATTCGCTGGTGCTGGGAGTCACGATCGGGAGCTACAACGCCACGTACAGCTTCAGTAGAAAGGCTTCTCCTTTCACCCACTTTCTCCATCTCAACCCCGCGCCGTGAGTCACGTAGGATCTAACGACACGACCCGTTGGAAACGGACTTCCCGGCTGCTTCTCGCAAGAAAAATATCCTAATCCAATCGCATTTCGTTGCCGAATTGCAATCTATTGCAATCATGATACATTTGCAAACTATCACATCGCATTTAGGCCTCTTATCCTACAGAATATTGCAAAAAAGAGCCATCTATCGCTCAATTTCACTGGAGACATTTTCACGAAACTTGCACCTTTTGCACAGATTGATATATTTCCAATGCACCAAGAAAAGTTCATCTTAGTCAGTTCCTCAAAAAGCAAGATTATAAGAAATTATTCAAAGTGTATCGGAAATTGAGACAGGACGAGAGACTGGAGTCCCTTCCGAGTCTCATCATTCTGCCTGTTTTTCGTTCTCCAACGTAAACCGAGGGAAAATCCGAATAAATTTCAAGTAAATCCTCTGTACTGATATTTATTGGTTTATCGGACATTTAGACAAAAATCTGCCAGGAAAGGTGAACAAAAGGGATGAAAATGAATTTCACTTGAAAAGAAGCCAAACTTGCAATAAGGACGATAAGCAAGAAGAGCGCGAAGGTTTATCCTCCACTTCATCACCAGCTCAGGCTATAGTCTATTTCCAATATCTGACTTTAGAAAATTCATCTTAGCCTTGCCCCAACACAGCGAATATGGATAAAATTTTAAAGGTAAGTTGTAACCATACCCAGTACATGTACTGGATATATTTTCCATGCTTTAGTACGTAGAGTGCTGATTTCGTGAAAATGGTTCCAGTGGGAGCGGATATGCCTAAGTTAAAGGTTCTTGTTTCTTCTTTCCGCCATACCCTGTATGATAAGCCAAACCAACTTGATTCTAACCCCATATGACGGAAAGGGAGAACCTCCTCCATGGACGCGACGAGCATAGGGTGAGCATTCCCTTCGAGGAATTCGTATCCAGGGATACAGGGACAGGGAAGAAGGGAAAGCAAATTCATTTTCCCAACCTCGGCATGAAAGGCTTAATTCAGGATGACCTCTCTTCTTTGACCTATCTGTGAAAAAATGTAAAAAGCAAGTTTTTGGTCTAGCGTGCATTGAAGGATATCCTCCAAGAAAGAGACGAATACTGCCTTCAAGATGGTTCATCGGATGGAGAGGGTACAACAAATGTAACTTCCTCATGAGCTTCGGAAGCAAGGAAATTTTGCTTTGCATGCAGACAGGCTCTATCAATGGTTGGATCTCCACCCATCTACAGGAATGAGACATCGGCGTCGATTTCAATACAACGGCCACCATATAGACCAACAAAGTGATTGAATTCCTAAAACGAGGGTTTCTGCTTCAGTTTCCACATTTTTTGCTGTCAAGCTTTTTCTCATCGATGAGACTGTACGGAGTTGATCCTCCACGAGGAGAGAACGAGGCTAAAGCTGCTGCGATTTCTTCCACACATGGACTCGTGCATTTGCAGATGCTGCATGGAGGTCTCGCTTCAAAAATCTTTGGAAACCTTCTAGATGAAATGAGAGCCTTGATTTGGACCAGGAAAACGAATTTGACTTCATTGCCCCCCCCCCCCTCCTCCCCCATACAATTCCTCTTTGAACCCCATTGTATTAAGATTCTCTCTGTTCAAAGCAAAGGTGAAGGAGATAGTTTGAATTTTTTATCAGCTCCCATTGCTGACAGCCACCGCACTGCTGCTCGAGATGTGTCTATGGCAGAACATTGCAGAAAAGTTCTTAAATAAATTGTGCATGACGCAATAGGGAGGGTTTACACTGCCAATTTATACCTCGGAGCATAGGCATATATTTACGAGAACTGCTCATCGAATACAGAAGTGATTGCAGAATGTCTTTTCCCTCCTTTAAAAGGAGGAAAAAGTGTCTATGACTACGCCTTCACTGTTTCCCCCGCCCCCCATGTTTCTCGTTCCTTAACTCCCGGAGGGAAAATGAGGATCCTCTGGTCATCACACCAAGGAAGGAGGCTCTCCCTTTCTAGCACAAAATCAAGTCGGTTTGGTGTAATAGAGATGTGCGGAAATGCAATTCCAGGTTGCATTCGGAATAATGTCTAATTGCAATAAATGGCTGTATGTTCAAGGGTATGATATTCTTATCTCAGCCCAGTCTGCAAAGCAATATTGATGTAACGTTGTAAGAGCATTAAAGTTTCAACATCCACCATGCCGAGTCAATGTTGAAGAACATTGACTACATTAACATTGATTGAATCACATCGGATCACCATTGGCTCAATGTTGAAATGAGACAAATCTCAACAGTCCTAACATGCATCGCTCATGCGCATGAATGAGCGTGCACTTTTTGATGGCTGAAGTATTTCATGAATTATCAGTGTGATCTCAACTCCTTCGGTACCAAAATTAGGGATGGATGCCTCGCTCCAATCTCGACATAGACCCCAGCAAACATAGTAACGTTGTGGGAACGTTCCCCCAGAGTCAATACAGTATCATCGACGTTAAAAGTCAAAGGTCAACGTTGTGTGAATATTGTAACCGTGTTATGACATTATGATATCTTTTTAAATCGCATTTTAAAATAATTTGTATGGTAGTTTCATGGAATATGCATCACCAAATAGGGAAAAATATTTTTTTTTTTCGCCGAACGACAAAGAACCTATCCAGTGTTACTACCCCAGTAATACCGGATATTGGGTGAATGCTGGACCAACATTGGGCAAGATGTCTACATGCATCTTGCCATTATTGCCAATACCAGCTAAATATTGGCTCAACATTGACTTCCCAATTTTGCCATTCCATCATCGATGCAATATCAAACTGACGCGATGATCCAATGTGCCCAATTTCCAATGAGGAGTTAATTTTGAGGAAATGCTGAAGTTCTCCTCTTGCCCACTAGATGGAGGTATGGATTTTGCTTTTCGCACAGTACACAAAAGTACACTTCCCTCTTTCCATGGAAACATCCCTCACAAGATTGTTTATTACCTCACCATATGTTTTTCATTGCCTCATTATAGCAATCAATAAAATCGGACACTTATTAATTCATTATCCATATATTCCAGACAGAAACATGGAGCCCAGGCAATAAATAAGCACATACTCCTTATGAGAAACCCTTGCATCCCACAACACAAATATCTAAACGAGTTTCTACAAACTCAATCATATACATTGGCTCTAATATCCGTACTTGCGAGGGAAAATGATTTTTCCCCTCCCAGCAAAGGAAAGGAGGACTTCTGTACTCCACAGAGCAGAAAAGGGATAGCCGTTCCCTGTAAAGTACTAAGATTAGTATTTTCAGAATAATATTTAACCTATTGCCTTCATTATTGACCATTATGGAATCCTACAAGGGTGGGATTGATGGTTCAAATAAGTGACATTGCAATGTTGGCTCAACGTTCATCTGAGTGTTCCGATAAGCGACATTGCAATAGTGACTTAATGTTAGCTGCAACGCCTACCAAACACTGGGAAGGTTCAAAATTAACGTTCATACAACGCTTATTGAATGTTAGTATGTTTGCTGGAACTCTATATTGATATAGAGGTCAACAGCGCGTTAGCAGCCGATGAAAAGGGGGCTGGTTATCACTCCATGGAACCTCCCGCGCGGCCCGCAGGACCAGGATTGAGGCATTCCAGCTCAAGTGGTCAAATTCGAGAAACTTCCCATTCGGCACAGCAACGTTATGTCAACGTTGAAAAAAGGTGGATGGCAATGTTGCCTCAATGTTGAGAAAAGGTTGACTTTTCAACGTAATTTGTTGCCATGATGTTCCCACAATGTTGAAATGAAACACAGCTCAACGTTGAAAAGTTGATGCTGTGCGACGTTGTGTCAACGTTGAATTGTCAACGTACCATGCCATGTGGAGATTTAG